AGGAACATGCTCAACTTTTATTGCTTTATCATGTTATAATAAACATCTACGAACTTTCCAATTTTTCCTTTCTTTTCCTTTTTTTTACTTTTCATTTTCAAAGCAACATCTCGAACGTCGCTTTTGTCAGAACGATCTAACTTTTCTATCTTCTATTAATTCATATTATATTTTCTATTAATACTATTGCATTATATGCGAATAAATGACACATATAATATTAATAATACTAATTTCATTGTTATTTTGAATTGTTACATTACTGTCATATTTTCATAATGTAACTTTTGAAATTCTCTTCTCTTTTTTTTTTTGCTATTTTCAATTTCACTAATTGAAAGATTAATTTCATACACATCTTGTTCTATCGATTTCGCAGAAAATAGTAAAAAAAGAGGCTGTTAATTCTGTTATTATAATTTCATTTACAGCAACTCGGAATAGATGTGTTTGAGTATGAAACAATGCTGACTTACCAAGTGAACAGGTATAATGCCCCGGACGGTACGAAACCCTTTGAAAAAGCACCAGACAGTCAATTGGCAATTTGCTCGTTGAAAATGATCGCTTGAACGTGCCCTAAAAATCAATCAGAAATATAAACGTCGTGATTAGAATTAATAAGCATGTATTTATATTGATATAACATCGACTAATTTATTGTAATCGCATAAGCTACACTATATTTGTTATTATTTACGAACTAATCGATCTGTGATTGTTTCGTATTTAGTATGTGATTATTATAATTATCTCAACTTTAGCTTTTATAACAAACAATATTGACACGTAATAAATACAGAATATGTATATACAAGGAAATGTAAAGGTAATCGCATTATTTACGAAAGATTGTAAATATTTTTGTACATAGAATAGAATATATGTAAAATAGAATATATGTATATGCGTGTGATAGATTATTACTGTTACTCGCTGAATTTTCTACACGAACATCCCAATGCAAATTCGAATATTTGGAAATATTATTTATATAGTATGTATCAGTTGTCAAAAAGTTCAAATGTCAAAAATCGATAGATTATATGAATCGTAATATGATATAAGTAGTTGAATAAAAGAAATTTATATACCTTTTTGATGTCTTCTTTGAATCTCCGTTTAGATACGTAATCAGTCTGAAACACCTATTATTCACTGCAAATGAAATTGTTAAACATTTCCCCTCTCAAACTGAGGGAATACTGGCCGATCTGAATTTCGAATTTTTTTTCAAATACTTCAAATAGTATCGCGCTTCGCATAGAAAAGCTATTGTACGAAGAAAAAACTACTTTGAATATTTCAATATTCTAAAATTAATTAAAAGCACTGATTCTATAACATAACTTAAAAACAACAGAAAGCAAGATAAATTTACATAATACTAAGACAACTATGAAAATTAATAATCAAAATTGCAAAAAAACAAAACGCGATTGTCATTTCTTCGCAACTCTAATTTAAACCGCAACCAATTTCTCGCAACACTAAGAGCGAAACTATTTAGCAGCTCCAACTCAACCCGTAATTGATCTCTCGCAACACTAACAAGGAAAAACCGACTCGATATATGACGATGATGAAGAAATACAAAATACAACTACAAATACTAAAAGAGCATAATGACAAAGTAGTAACGAGAATGACTTCCCATGCTCTGGAATCATTCAAATGATCCACAAGATGAGAAGCCATTTGCTGTGACCCTCTTCGTGGCAGTTTGCCGGGCCTCTTCGGCTTTTAGCCTCTTC